GCAGGATTGCTGAGGAAGCGCCGTAAACCCCCGCCCGCCCGCCGCAGGCTGCCTTGGAAGGAAGAGCTCTATAAGCCCACCTGATCCCCAGTAAGAGTTCAGTTAAGGTTTTAATAAAGCCCTTGCAGAGAGCAGGGTCAGGAAGAGGCCCCTTGCAAAAGAGCTGAGCACAGCAAGTCTGTGGAGCAAGCCACACTGTGATGCACCATTCAGCATCTGTGGCTTTCCTGCCTTCATCTCCAGCCAAGCCACTGTCTCCAGCTGTCTCAGACGATAGCTGTATCTCCTAAAGGCCCTGAGAGGCTCTGAGAAGAGTTCATGTAGCATTTCTCTTACCACTGGCTTCTCCCCCAATGTTGTCTCCATCTTTCTCCAAATTCAAAGGCATCTCTAACGTCTTTCTGTCAGCAACAGCAGTTAGTCCTTTAACACCAGTATCTCCTGGCTGGGGATTTTCTGCTATCCTAGCTGTCTACATTCAGCTTTTCTATCGTATGTTTGTGTCTTCTCACAAAGCTGATTCCAAGAGAGCTGGAAAACAAGTTCACTCTCTTAGACTCCTCTTTGAGTTTTAGAGAGCAGGTATTCTTTATTACGCATGGGGAGTCCCCAGGATCATTCCTTGGGAGGATTCCAGTTTCCCATTACAAAGTGATTGTTTATATGCTACATATTCATACATATTCATGAGACATCTGAAAACCTATTAATATGAAGCGGAGACTCTTCAAAAAATAATTAGCATACAACTCCTCCTATCTGGGCATGCGCCCTGCGACCCTCTGGTGGTCTTCAGGTGGTCGTGAGGATGAAGGCTCATTGTCTTCTTCTCTGTAAACTTTTCACCTCGCAGAAGCAGATGTATTTTGTCACTTATTCTGCTGATTGGGCATTCAAATAGTGCTGACACTATTTCTCTAAACATCTCTGGCTACACAAACACAGGATACCTAAATTTCGTTCCTGGACATTCCTAGATAGGGTTTGTGGAACAGACAAAAGGGTTTCTGTTCAATTGGGGGATACCATTTATCTTCAAAGAATGTGCTCTGGCCTTCTGATTATCTGTGGGACTGCTGATTCTGCAACTGAATTTCACAAAGATCCTACAAGCAGCAATTTTAACCCCTTTCTCAATGCACATGAGTGTTTTGCCTGTTTAGACTTTATCTGGTTTACAGAACTGCAATGTTGGGTGACAGATGTAAGTTACTTTGTTTCTCAATGTCCAGGCACAGGTTATTTTAATTCAGAGTTAAAAAGTGAGAGAGTCAGAACTGAGTAATACTGATTCAGGTGTACCTGCAGACAGGGACCTCTCACTCTCTTTCCAAGCAAAAAATGCCAGCCCTGGGTATGCTGAAAACACCAAGAAGGACAACTGCTTCCATCGCCAGGACACACAGGTTTCCTGTTAGTCAAAGCATAATCTGGAAAAAGCACATGCTGTGCAGGAGTAGGTGATTAATGCCTGTGAAATCCTGGCCCAGGGAAGAACCAGCCCTGCCAGACATGATAATGTTGTCCTCTGACAAATGCTTGTAGTTTGGCCTTCTTCAGGTAACAGTGTAGTTTTGTGCGTTAGCTTCAGATTCTGCTCCTTCCAGGCACTTCCAGTGCCATCCACGCACTTCCTCTGTGCTCAGCTGCCAGAGCCAGGGTTTTGGCTATGCTTCTTCCTTTTGTTGGCACTTCTGCACAGACTAACAATTGAAAATACACATTTCAATTTATCTCATGCTTCTCAGCTGGGAATCCAAGTGCTTTCCACATGTGAATTAAGCATTACAACACAACAGTTAGATACACAGGGAGTACATAGGGATCACCCCCATCGGCACATTGCTGTAACACAGCTGTTTCTTGTAGTATGGCAGATACTTAGCAGAATTCAAGAATAACTAACCAGAAAGTCTGGACCAGCTGTTTTCAAGCTTATTTGAGTTGTCAACCCATAGTCTGCTAGAGACATGGGCCCCAGTCCAGGGGACCCAGGTACAATGATGACAGACTTGCTTTTCCAAGGGGCACACACTACATCACCTTTGGCAATGAGTGCAACATAAGTCCTCAGCCTTGTCCCAACCCACGCAGCTCATGGCCCTTGCACTGGTCCTGGTGTAACTGAACTGAGTTGAGCCAGACTGTCTATGTAATCAACTGGATCTGATTTTTTTGTATAGCATGTTTCATCTCAAACCCCTGTGGGGACAGCAGCAATGCAGAGGCACATTAGCTCAGTTCTGACACAGCGCTGTGCTCTTCTTAAACTCGGAGCTCCTCAGAAATGCCACTGTGCTGCCTTCCTACCTGACAGTGCTCATGTGTAACTGGCTATGTCAGGTCTACTGCAAAACACTATAAAAATGAAACTTCTTCCAGGAACAGCTGACTTCTGGTAATTTCCAAGTCATGTAATTTGTTTCTGAAGTTGAGGTCCTATTTCTGTGCTGCAATGCCCTTACACATCAGTTACTCTGGACTGGGCACTAAAGGTGGCCAGCATGTCTTCTAGGATGAGAGGTGCATACAGCTAAAACGAGATTCATCCTCAGACATGTGTCACTCCTTCCATGTGCCTGTTCCTCTCCATTGATAGCAAAGAAAATCTGAATAAACAGCTTAGAGATATCTACATTGCAACTTTACAAAACACCTGAAGGAATCTGACCTATCAGTTTGTAACTTACTGAGAGAAGATGCTCAGCTTGTGGGCCATTTGAATGAACAAAAGCCCATACTTAAAACTAACCTTTTACATTTTAATATGGTATTTACCACTTATGCAGCAATCCCAAATACAGATCACTGGCTAAGCAGCATCTCAGGATGCATAAATCCCACAGCTGGCTTTTTCCATCTTTATCTGTATGTATCAGAACCACCACCCAGCTAACGAGTCTGCCAGGAGGAATTTGGAAAAGGGCGCTCACAGGCCAAGCTTAAAAATGTGTCGGCAGCACTGTGCGTGTGGGCAGCTTACACACTCCACGGGCTAATTTTGTCTGTAACCGCTACTGCTATTAGATTCTCATGGTGTTTGCAGGCATATGGAACAGAGGCTGTACTATATAATTACATCTACAGCAGTGGGAAAGTCTCATCACTTCTATCACTACCAGCCTCATTTGAAACCCTCTTTGCTCAAGAGCAGGTAATCCTACCCTTGCTGCTTCTTGCTTTTAGGAGCACATTAAATTACTGAGTTGTTTAGAGAATTTCAACATGCAGCAGAAAGGCCTAAGAGCTGAATCTGCCCTGAAAATAAAAAAATGGAATTGTACCACTGCATCTTTTAGTTTCTGGGAGACTGAACTGAAGATGAAGGTGATGACTGTATGTGGTACAGACTAGCAAAGAGGTGTTGAGTGACTCAGTGAAGGGTTCATGCATTCAGTGTTCAAAGCATCTGAGCAATAAATACATAGTGCCTTTAATATCTTCTCTGCTCAGATGGCTGCCTGCTCCCTGTCCCCCCAAAATTCCTGCTCTCTTATTCACAAGTCTTAATCTACGCCTAAATGTTTCTCAAAGGAGTAGCAGTTTGTCAGTTTTCCATGCGTTCAGGCAGGACTGTATTGTACTGAACAAAGTATCACTGTAATTTATAAGCCAAAACCTCCTGAATTCATTCTCTGGCTTTAAGTAACTCAGCCTGTCCCCATGCCTCAGCATGTAGTTAAAAGATATTTCTGCTGTGAGGAACTGCTAGTTTCAGAGTCCCCCGCTGTCTCTTGTCCGGGACTGCAGTCTCTCCCTGCCCCTGTGAAATAATTTGAGTTTAAACTAACCATACAATAAGGAATAATTTCAGTGATATGGCAACATGAGCACCATGCAGTGTGACAGAGGGGCAGCAAGCTGTGGCTGAGAGCACAGAACTGCAGATTTTTAAGTAATTTTTTCACCAAAGCAAATAAATTATGTAGCTACACCCTTGCTTTTCTGCCCTGGGAAACACAACCACAGTAGCTGCTGTCCTCTTGAGTGTTACATATGCATAGGTCCTACCTGCACAGGCATTGGCAGTGTTTAAATCTGTACACTGGAGGCTCACACTAGAGGAAATGTTAAGGACACAGTGACCATATAGGAGCATGGAAGGGGAGCTGTGCCATGCAAGGTGTAACAGCAGATGTCACAGAAGCAGAGGCAGTTAATTGTTAACATCCTTTTCTCATTCTCTTTTATTTATTTTTTTTGCTTTTGCTTTTAGTGTGGAAACAGTGAATGATGGACAGTTTCATAGTGTGGAGCTCGTCATGCTGAATCAAACTCTGAACCTGGTGGTGGACAAGGGGACTCCCAAGAGTCTAGGAAAACTCCAGAAGCAGTCTCCTGTCAGTCTCAACACACCCCTCTACATTGGAGGTACAGTCAGTTGCTCTGGTCTTTGAGATTTTCACAAGTCTTCTCAGAAGCAAATAATCTTCCATCCTACAGAGGGGACTCTCTGGGTAGTGGGGAGGAACTAGCAGTTTGCCTTTCTCCTTTGCCAGAGGTTGCTTCCCTGAACAGAGCGCCTGGAAACCACACCTCTGCTGTTCTGCTCTGTCCTCCATAGCCCACTGGCACCCCACTGCAAAGCCAGCACATGGTTGCACGCCAGACCAGGGAAGTTAACCTCAGCTCAGCACAGGCAGTTTCTGTGCTATATGGCCATGGCAAGTGCAATCGCTCTGTCATTTCTAAAGCTTTCAGAACTGGCTGGCACCAGGATGTCACGGTTGAAGAATACAATGGAAGTGTCACAGTCATGGCAAAAAAGCAAATCGATAGTAAGTTTAAATATACTATAAATGAGTTGTATTTCTGCTGGAAATTTTTTAGACGTCTAAAGATTTGGGGGAGAGAGGTGAGGATTAAAACCTCCAAATGATAATAAGACACAAGCTGATTAAGAACTTCTTGGCTAATAGTTTTCCCATTGGAAAATGAAGCCAGAGCTTCACTATTAGTAAGATATTAAGAGTTGACCAAACTTCAGTTAAGAAGTTTTTTCACATTCAGAACTGAATTTTGGGGGAAGGAAGGGCCAAGTGAGTTGGGGCAACAGATGCCCAGGATAATGAGAATCCCACTGATTAGGTGTCCGTACATGAGAGACAGAATGAAGGCTGTGTTCTGCCCACTTTTTTTTTTGCCAGAATGGGCCCCAGCTCTATTCTGGACTGAATATTGAAATCTCTCCCTTTTGGTGACATGGAGTTCTTAACTTTTTAGTCAGCTTATTCTAAATACAAAAGTCAGCAGAACAATAATAGACTCAGAAAATCTTTGGGCTTTTTCTGACTAGATCATTAAAGCAAATAGTAGAAACTCTTGCCAACTGTATTTGGTGCTGGTCAAGCCTTTCGTAAATAGTTCCCTTTAATAACACTTTACTAAAAGAACCCTGAATACTGCCCTTGTAAATCAGAAAACTGGATAATCTGCTTTGTATGGAGCTCCTATTGTAATTGGCTCCTATTAAGAATGTCACAGGCTATTAAAGAGCATGATGCATCAAAGATAATCTGCTGGTGAGGCCATCACAATTTCTCTCTCTAGCAAAGCATAAAAGAAATCAACCCCACAGCAATTTATACACAGGGAACTTGGGATATAATCATGTGGAAAAGCTTTGTAAATGAATGAGCATTGCGGATCAATACTAATTCTCGAAAGGTACTTACAGAAATGCACTCACAGGGCACTTCTGAGACCTGAAGTGAAGGACTATTGGATACCAGAAACCATAGGCTCAATGGAGACTTTTTTTATTGCCTGTTAAAATTCTTCTTGCTTCTTTCTAAACCGCTGTTATTCATGTGCCACTTCTCTGCGTGTAGTGTGCATGCCAGCTGCCTTCCACTTCAGACCATTTAAAGTAATTGATTACATTACCCCAGAGCAATTGTTCCTAACCTGCAAGCTTTAAGACAGACCTGAGCCTTCATGCGCCCATAATTTTGTCCACGTCTCCAAGTACATCACCTGTCTAGTAACTTTCCTCCTGACGCACAGTTAAAGATACTGGTTTTCTTTTAAAACCATCTTTAACAGTACACTTACTTATGGATAGCAAATTCAGAGGCCTTATGCAGCTGAAAACAGAAACTATCAACTTTGCCAAGGCAGCTGTACAGCCCAAGTGGATGTCAGGGGGGAGGGTGTAACACAGCATCCAAAAGAATCTGCTGACCGCCTGAGCTTGAGCACGATGGAGGGTACTTGCCACAGAGACTTGGCCTGGCATCCTGAGGTACTGTTCCCTGTCTCTAGCGTTCTCCTGCACTGATTCAATGGAGTGCAACCTTGCCACTCCCTGTCTTGATGCTGTGATCTAGTAATGCCCGTCTTGCTGTATCCCAGAGGTGGTAGCTCTCTCCTGGCAGGTAAAGACACCCTTCTAAATGGATATTCAGAAGAATAATTGCTATTAAACTATATACAGAAGGAGTATTATCTAAAAACACATGGCCATCGGCCAAAAAACAAAAAGGTGAGAGTTCTGTTTTGTTTTGTTTTTTATCTCCTACAATTCTTGTGTAAGCTTAGGCAAGTGATTTTTTTTGTTTGTTTCTTTCCATTTCCAGAATGAGGACAATGAGACTGTGCTACCTTACAAAGGTCCTATGCAAATTAATTCCTTATAGATTATAAGGGGCTAAGAAACAGACATAAGAAACATTAGCAATTATAATTCATGTTCTGTCATTGTAACTGTGAATAAACCTTCCCTTTTTGCTTTTATCTGAAGGGATTCCAACCTCTACTGGATTATCTTCACTGCGCCAGGGTGCAGATAAGCCACCAAATGGTTTTCATGGATGTATTCACGATGTCCGCATCAATAATGAGCTGCAGGATTTCAAGGATTTACCACAGCAGTCACTAGGAGTCCTTCCTGGCTGCAAATCCTGTAATATCTGCAAGCATGGTATTTGCCGGTCCCTAGAGAAATCAAGTGTGATCTGTGAATGTCACCCAGGCTGGACGGGCCCCCTGTGTGACCAGGAAATTGGAGACCCATGTCTTAACCACAAGTAAGCTTGAATGAATGCTGATGGGAGGGTGGACACTTTACAGCTAATGCATATTTCACATTTCATCTTGTAAAACCATATCTGACTATTTTTGGAAGTGCTGGGTTCCCACATGAAATTATTGTCATTTTTGAGTCAGCATCCATGGCAATTCTCAATTTCCACTTCTTATTCTAACATTGCTCGCTCTCCAAATGAGCTCTTTGTCCAGGAGGAGCTAGGGTGTTAATACCTGCAGGTCATACTTTCAGCTGTGACTTTACACACCAAAATACAAAACCTTCTGTTAACGGGTATGGTTTACCTCAGAGGTGGTGCATTTATCCAAAGCAGAGCTACCTGTGAGCAGGAGGAACACATTCTAGGGATAAGCTCACAGCAACATTGGACCCAGTATTTAGCCTAACTCCTTAAAGACCATTATGCACTCTAATGTGAGCAGTTCTAAATTTCCCAGATAGCTGACTTAAACGTTACACTCTGAAACACCCCTTTAAAGTCCAAGTTTAAAGGATAGCATGGACTTGCATGTGAAGGCAGCATGAGCATAAAGCATTCACAGTTCAAAGGCTCAATAACCACATCACCATCAGAAACACTGTATGAACAGCTTGCTTATGGCTGGCACAAGGGACAGCCCGATGCAGACTAGCAGTCTGTGCAGTTCAGTGCTGTGCTATTGGCAGATGGAAATACTTTTGTTTTAGAAGCTGCTTTGGTTGCGCTATCTGTGGAAGGGGCTTTTCACAAGCACATACTTTTGACAGGTAATTGACACAATCAATAATCACTCTCCTAAGGGCAGAAACTTGGCAGAGGTACCATTTTAAAAAGTACTGAACCCTGGAAGATGTTGAGAAGCAACTGACGATTTACGGAGCAAAGATACAAACACCAAAGCGAGGAAACATGCAGAGACACAAATGTTTCCTTGAATTTCCAGCATCAACAGAAAGCTGTTGTGGTTGGACAGAGGAAAACAAGGGAATTCCAGCTGATTACATGAGGAGGGATTGTTTCTCTCATAATCCAAGGAGAATGATGCAATCGTGAACGTAGCCCCCTCACTAAGGAAAGTAGTTATGTGTATTTTTAAGGATTGCATACTGTCCCATCTTTCATTAAATCACTTCAGCCTTTTGGAGTTGTCTCCTTAAAGCCCTTTGCATCCATGGAAATCCAATGCCCTGCTGGCAGGTGTCTGCTCACAGGTTAATCTCAGTGAGGAAATGCAACCGTGAAGAACAGTGTCACTGGGCAGACGCTCTCTATTAACCCCTCTCCCCTCCTCAGAAGGGGAAGAGAAAGAGAATAAGGGAGAGAGACTTATGAGCTGAAAAAGAAAACTAACAGATTTAATGATTCAGTAATAATACTACAGAATAATAATGTAAATAGGAAAATAATGAAATACATACAAAACCAATATAAAATCCTTTCCCCAATGAAGATTATGTCACCAGAGGCTCTGTGGAGCTGGGCACTGGAAAAGTCCTAGACAGAGCCAGCAGCAGTGGGAGCAGGATTCAGGAACTGGATTAAGGAACACACAGATCAGGATCGAAGGCAGACAAACTTCTGCTCGGAGATTGGACATGGCAGAAGAAGGGGAAGAAGAGAGACTTAAACCCTCGTGACCCCCTCAGCTTTATACTGAGAATGACATACGTGGGATAGAATACCTTGTTGGTCAGTTTTGGGTCATCTGTCCTGTCTGCTCTTCCCTGCAGGTTTGACACCTCACTTATGACACCACAATACAGCAACCATGATGTGGCAGTGGCCTTGGTCTCCATTGTAAGCAAGAGCTATATTTACATACCATAGTAACTATAAACATCAAGCACTATCACTTGTAGAAGTGAACACTGCCTGGAAAAACACATCATTAGTTTCAGAAAGTACAGTCACTTAGAAGAGACTAAACTGAAAAGAAACTAGAAAATTATTTCTGTTTAGCTCAAACCAGGACAAACAGGTAGTTGATAATAGCAATTGTTGAGTTCCTATGCAAGCACTCTTTTGGTTAGTAGGACAGAAAATACTGGTTCATATAGACTTATTCCTTATTCCAGGAGTTTGTATGTGTGTTTGTATGTATGCTGGAAACTGCTTTTATTATTTACACTTTTAGTTCAAAGCTTAAAAATGAAATGTACACGGATTCAACATAAGCAGGGAACAATCTTAAAGTACCAGAAAGAAAATAAATAAAAATAAGAGAAATACGTGTTTTTTTATGTCAAGTAGGACCTGACATAGCAAAGATTTATAAGCTCTGAGAAATTTTGTCTTGGCTTGTCCTCAGCCCATTCCCAGTCTATTCTTGTCCCAGCAGTGGGACTGGTGTCAGAGAACCTGCTAAGGATCAGCACCCTGCCCTGTGGTGTTCCTCAGAAATACCAGAGCTCACTGCAAACCACATGAGCCAGGGAACCCTTCAACTGCAGCTGCCTGTGACTAAGTCTGCATAGCTTTTCCACAAGCATTTATCACAATATTTTTCATCACCTGATATTATTTGTAGAGTAATTCTGTTAAGGAAGCCTGGGCGTGCAGCTTGATTGTTGGCACTGAGTTCCACATGCTGGTGCTGCAAATGTGAGCTGGCTCGTGTGATTGCCAAGCGTTGGTGCATGCTCATGGAAGAGCCTGATGTATTTCAAAGAGATCACTTAGGATCACAAATTCTAAATGTATTCTCTGAACCTTATCCTGTATTCACTAAAAACTCACAGTTTCTTCAGAGTGTTTGACACTGAACTGCAGTTTTTGGATTAGTGTCTTGGAACTAAATGGGCAGAAATGCCAAAGCCAAACATCCCTGGGAAAAGGAACTTTCACATCATGCCAGCTCTAAATGCTTCTCTTTCTCCAGGTGTCTGCATGGTAAGTGCGTGGTGGCCAATGTTGCTTACACCTGCAAGTGCATGGAGGGCTACACAGGCATGTTCTGTGACAAGAAGAACAATTCCTCAAATCCCTGCAGGATTTTGAAATGCGGCCACGGGCAATGTAAAATTTCTGAGCATGGGGAACCCTACTGCGAATGCGATCCTAACTATAGTGGAGAACACTGTGACAGAGGTACGCTTGGCTGCAGGGCCTGGGACGCTGCTCTGCTGAGTTTCTGTTTTACGCCTTTGTTTTTACCTCTCTTCCATGTGACTCATATTTGGGGGTAAATGGCACATAGTAGTACATAAAGCTCAGTCAGCCTCTGCAGAGCAATACAGGGAGGAGGAAGGAACCATGCAACAGCTAGCTAGCTGCTATCCAAACACGTGGAAAGGGGGATGCCTGTAGCAAAGGATTTTGTTCTCATGTTTCCTGAATGCTCAAGGTTTGTTGCTCCCAGGATTTGTGTGGAATGCTTAAAGGAGAGGTTGTTGTGGAGTTTACCCTCAGCAAACACTGATCAGTTAACTGCAATGCTGAGAAAGGAGGTTTTACCCTCCATACCAGGGGCAGGCAGGAGTCACCACTCATCTGAAGTGGCCGTGAGGATCCTCAGCTTGGTCCCTCTGGTGCAGCTGAGGGTGTTTCCTGGGGAGTTCCACAGATGATGCTGGACATTCCTACCAGGGCAGGAGCCCAACTCTTCTGCCCTGCCCTGAACAGACTCACTGAAAACTCTGTGAGTCCTAACTTCAACCCTTCTGCCTTTTTTATTCCTGTAGAGAAGGAAGGAGCTGCCATGTATTATTTTTATTTCAGTTGTGCCTTTCCTGTGAATGAACCACAGACTTTCCAAATTACACACATCACAGGCTCACCAAAATGCATCTGGCTGCTGCAAAGTGACTGCAGAACAGCACAGACATTTTCAGGTATCCCAGATTGCTAATGTCATGCAGCACAGGCTGACCTTTGATCCTGAGAAGCAGACATAGTAAAACTAATTCATATGCTGGAGGAATGTTGCAGGATTCAACACTCAGCATTCATTAAAGCACTTCCAGAACTGCTGATCAAAGCCAGCAGGCCTGTTCAGTCTCTGCTGTGTGCCAGATATTGCACATTTGTGTGACACGAGTTCTGTTTTAATGGCAGGTACAAAGCGCTAGAAGATTATGGTCCTGCTCCTCCCATCTGTTTGCCTTGAATAGCATTACACGTACAGGTCTGTCTGCTGATGTTTGGGGAGTATCTGGCAAAATAGTTACCACATTTTGTTTTCCATCTCTGTTGTCCTATCAGAGAACCTCTGCCAAGGAGAGATAATTCGAGAAGTAGTCCATAAGCAGCAGGGCTACACATCGTGCGCCACTGCCTCCAAAGTACCCCGCTTGGAATGCCACGGCAGCTGCGGCAACAGGCAGTGCTGTGTTCCCCTCCGGAGCAAAAGACGGAAATACTTCTTCCAGTGCGTGGATGGCTCCACCTTCATGGAAGAACTGGAGAGACATGTGGAATGCGGCTGCTCAAAATGCTTATAAGCCATTCTCCAGTCTCTTGCCACTTTAATCGACTCAGAAGCGCTATTGAAACGGAACCTATTTACTTTCAGAGTGAAGAAGAAGAAAAGGAATATTAAGTATATTGTAAAATAAACAAAAAATAGAACTTATTTTTATTATGGAAAATGACTATTTTCATCTTTTATTATATAAAGTATCGCACCACTTTGGATATATGCATCATATAGTGAGTTATTTTTACCATGAAACTTTTTTAACAGTTGTAAGAAAAAAAATTAAGTGAAAAAATTAAAAAAATGTATATAAAGGAAACATAACCTAACAGGAAAAATATGGGGGTGACTGTATGTGTGTGCACAATGAACAAAGGTAACGTTGTTCCAAGGACCTGACACAGAACTGATACGGGCTGAAATCTCTGAGGCTCTGGGTGGTTCTCCTCAGAGAACAGATCCCCACGACTGATGGCCACTTCGCCTGCTCGGGCACCCTCGGAAAGCCTCCCATCGCTCCCTTGCTCTGCTGGCACTGTTTTGCTCCTGTACAGTGGCTCCGCTTGCTGTTCTTGAATTGCACATAGGCACTACCATAGCTTGAGGCTAACTACATTATTTGACTGTTGTAATACTATAGTACACTTTTTGCTGTGTATGATGTTTATCTGTGTTCACAATATATTCTTCAGTAACTGCATCTATAGAGCACAGGCAGCTTTATCCAAAAGAAGGGGACAAAGGGAAAGTAAGTGGGGAAATATATGTTGCTTTGGGAAATTTGGGGCAAAGTGTGAAATAAGTGCTACATAATGCCTAATAAATGACAGTACTTTTGTGTAAACTCAGCTATTGTTATTTCCCAAGTTTGTGCCTTCTTGCTCCCAGCTTTGAGCCCTTTTTTGAATATGAAATAGAAGGAATGCACAGCTACATAATTTGTCATGCCTTGACACTTTAACTTGCAAAGGTTGTAAAGAACTTGAAAGTATTGCAGGTGCCAGAAGGTGCCTGCAGCATCGTGGCTTGTACTCCCCCTGTCACTCGAGCCGTAGGTGTGAGTTGGGCTGTAGCTGCCTGTTCAGCCACACTGGGGTCCAGCTGGCTACTTTTCCACAGCTTTTTAAACAAGCAGAAGTTGCACTATATTCATGTGAAGGTATTCAGCTGACATTTGTCCACCTTAGCAGCACTCTTTTCTCTGCACAGGGAGATGTTACAGCTCCATCCCATTCTGTTCTCCCATTTGCTGCAGATTCACCAATTCAACCAAAGCTTTTCCATCTCTCTCATATCCCACACTTGTGTCTCCTAAAGAAGTCACATTAAATTTAGCTGTGTTCACAGCAAATGCTGAATAGGCAATGCAGGGATAAATTCTCACTGTGAATGTGAGGCAAAAATTGACTCTGGGAGCGAGTTTGATTTTTGGAGGGTTTTTGGCAGGGCTACCTTTCAGGGTCGGTAAGTACATGCAAAGAGTACCATGGATACCGTAAATTTTCTCTTACTATACATTTCAGACATCCCCATCAACAACTGTTCCATCATCAGTATAATTTCTGTCTTTCTGTAATATAGCAAGTATTATACCCCTTTCTTCAATTTTTCTTTCTCCAAGAGAGATAAAGTTAGAGATAATCCCCAGCAGCCATGAGCTCCTTTTGTAAATGCCCACTGGTCTCACCAAGAAAATTTCAGATTAGAGGCTTCAGCAAAGGATGGGAAGGAAAGCTGAATCAAATAAACAGGGCCTTTTTGGATTAGGGCTTTGGAAAGATGCACAGAGCGCAGTCCTGCCATGAAAAGTATAAATGCTTATTTCCCATTTTTTAAAAAAGTGACCCTCTAGCCATCATGCAACCAAAAAGCTCTGAGGTGCATAGCGTTTTTCTAGTACTTCAGTCTCTCCTTAACTGCAGCAGTTCATTCATATGTCTTTGTTAGTACCAGAGTGACCTGGACAGAAGGGACATAACCAACCTAACAGCCTCAATCAGTGAAACATAAAACAATTGCTAGTTAAGATGCCAAAATTAGATTGAAACAGTACAGCTCAAACGCCAGGGAAGAACTAACCCTGGCTGCAAATACTATGGGCTGCTTTTTTTTTTAAATATAATGTCAGGAGCTTATAGCAGCTGGATTTACTGGTGTACAACAAAAATCACCCAAACCAACAACATACAGGTTTTTAAAATTTGTGTCAGTAACTGCAGGCACTTGTGCAATTACGTGCCTGGCACACCACTAATGTTTCTTTCCTGCTTAGAACACTTCACCTGCTAAAGAAGCAGCTGCTCATCCAGAGTGAGCAGTGGTTTACAAGCCTTCCATGTGCTCTACTGCACAGGTTGTAGCCACTGAACTGCCAGGGCCTGCAGCAGCACAGCCATCCAAAACTTTGTGCACTGTCCCTTGAGCAGCTCCTTTCAAGGAGAAGGAAGGTGTCACTTACTCATGGCCTTGCTGGAGGGTGCTTTAGAAGGAATTACTTTGGGAGGCAAAAGCCATCAACACCTTGTTAACACATCACTCTGGGATTTATTTAAGCAAAGCCTTGCACCAAAGTGACCAGCAACAACGCAGCAAGGCTGGCCCTGTTCCTGGCCCTTTTCTGTCACAGCACTTCAATGTTCAGCATTGGGATAAGGAACTAAGAGTATTTATTTTGTAACCAAATGATGCAATTTCGTATGCTTTTAGGCAGCACTTGCCATTGGATAGTGATGCTTTATGTCAATGATTCTCTGACTTCCTATAGAATTATGTTAAGAAGAAAATAAAAAGCATTCAGGTGTGCCAAAAATGTGAGGTTAACTGAAGTGTAATTAGCTCTGAAAGTTCCTCTGTAACCTGCCTAATGTTACAATAGATTTCAAGAACTGCGGGTATCATGCAGTAATTTTTACCTCTATAAAGTTTTAATATAAAGTGAAGAAAGATGCTTACCCTTAAAAAAATGGGAATTAACTGATGTATTTTATTAATAGATCATCATTGTGATGTAAGTTTAAATAAATTTTTGAGTTATGGAAGACTGTAACATACGTTGTGTTGCAATGCAGATTATTTTTATGTGGGTTTGAGGTGTTGCATGTGACCTTGTAGAGTATGTGAGTGTGGGCAGGAGCAGTGAGGTGGTTCACAGAAATGATCAGAGGACTACATGCATTCCTTTTGGACAAATCTAGTCAGAGTAGTTAGATGTAGCAGTAGCTGTAGTAGTCAGCTGTAGTTAAATGCAGTATTAACAGTGATTACACATTTTTATGACACTACAACCTAGTCTTTTAGGAGTCTTACACACCAAGATGAATTAAGCCACAGAGTTTTGGGGCCTGGGCATTTTCTTCAATGAAATATTTCATTTGTTTGTTTTTTTGGTTTGGTTTGGTTTGGTTTTACTGAAGCCTGCAGCAAAAACACACTCACTAATGATAGAATAAATGATGAAATATTGCTAATTGGGGTCAGAGGAGTTCTAACTGAGGAAATGGAAGTCACCCAGACAGCCATGGATGATGGAGATCTCCTGATGTCCTGACACGCATATATTTCAAATTTGCAGCCACACTGCTGTAGCTGATCATTACTACCCAGATTACCCAGATGAAACAGACCTCTTCTGCTCATTATGTTCCATGCTTAGCAAGGACCAAAATGAAGTTCCCATGTAGTCCTCAGCCTTCCCATGTAATGCTCACATATTGCTAATTATGCTTCAGACCATGGCCCTTAGAGTTGCCTGTGCCATTCCATACAAAACTAATGAGAGCATTCAGTTGAGTGTTTACTCGACCTTAATGAGTGTCATTAAACTATGAAGGTTTATTACTAGAATTGTAGCAGACGGTAGCATTTTCACCTAAAGCAAACCCAGCTGAGCCCTCTAAAAGCTAGTGGGACTATTCAAAACCTGCCAGCTCCTGGCTGAAGTGACTGGTTTGCACAACCCCGTCCTGCCCCCGCCCCCCACTTCCCCTGCTCCGGCGCGGAGCGCGGCGCTGCGCGGGATCCGCCAGCAGGTGTCGCCACAGGGAGCGGCCCGCCCCGCTCCGCTCGGCCGAGGCGTCCGGAACGGGATAGGATGGGACAGGATGGATCATTTCGGTTGAAAGGGACCTCCAACGATTATCTGGTCCAGCTGTCTGACCAGTCCAGGACTGGCCAAGTTAAATTACGTTATTAAAGTCATTGTCCAAATGCCTCTTGCGGCATCGACCACCTCTCCAGGAAACCAGTGCCGGGGTTTGGTCACCCTCTCAGTAAAAAAATGCTTCCTCATGCCCTGTCTAACCCTCCCCTGGCACAGCTTTGAACCATTCCCACGCATCCTAGCACTGGATACCCAGGAGAAGAAATCAGCACCTCCCTCCCCATGTCCCCTCCTCAGGAACAATGACACCCCTCAGCCTCCTTCTCTCCAAACCAGACAAGCCCAAAGTCCTCAGTTGCTCCTCACAGGAGCGTATATACATGTGACACATGGAATTTTTTACTTGGGAGGTTTAAATAATAATTTCCCAAGTTTTATTGATCTTGTGCCATTAGCTTCCTGGCATTGTTCACATCAGTCCTGTGAGGAAAGGAGCCCCTGCTGTGCCCATGAGCTGCAGCTTGTCCTGGGGTCACTGCACTCAGGAGCCTGGCATTCACCCCAGAAACCTAGAGCAGGAAGACGACCCTGCCGAGCCCAGTGAGGGTGTGTGAGACACGCAATACTTCTTTGGCACCGTCTTCCACAGCAGAACAATGGCTCCTTGTGCTGACGTACAGGGCAGCTTGTGCCTATGCACTGCAGTGGCCCTGGGACAGTGTCATGACAGCAGCATCACAAAGCTGCTGTTGATGGCACCGCTGTTACTCCAGTGCTAGCCCCTTACAAAGTAACAACTGATTCTGCTATTTCTACCCTAATGCTGCTGCTGTTTGCTTGCACATGTTGATGCATAAGCAGTGCAAGCCTGCAGATTTCATTACCCAGCAGGGCTCTACTCGAGTCTGGTTGGTGCATGCCCGCAACCTCTGACACCTCTTGTCTGTGCAACAAAACACAGCTGGTCCCCCAGGCACCTGTAGCTCTGAGAGCCCTGCAGGCAGCAAGAAACTCCTCTGGCATGTAACAGAGCACATATGTGGTACAAGCAGCCTTTATTAGTATGAGGAAGCTTAAATGTATAGCATGACACATAGGGACATCTGATAGTCTCACAAGGAGAAGGAACAGAAGCTGCTACATTGCTTTGCATCTTGTTCCTACATGATCTCCTGAC